CAGGGACCCGGCCCGGGCGTCTCGTAGCCGGTCCGAGGCGGGGTCTGGTGTGTGTAACACTGACCTGCGTTCGAGCAGAGGGTGCGTGGGTAGTCCGTTGGTTCGTCCTCCCGATCCGCCCACTGCTGCTTACTGGCGAGAGAGGAGGGGGAGTGTCATACGCACTAGATCGTCCACAACCCCCCGTCCCCTCTGGGGACCCAGAAATCGAGGAATTGCTCTTTGTCGAGAATTTGGGTACCACCGACCGAGATGTCAGTGGTGGAAAAAGATGAAAAGATTTTCCACCCGGCCCTTCTCCGGGGGAGGGAGTGGTGTGCTTACCATCTAGTGAAGAGCACATCCCTCCACCTCTGGGTCGCCCGTCTCCGGGCCTCTTGCTCTCTCGCTTGCCACCAGGTTTGGCGGGGGCCTGGACGGGCGGGGCGGCTGCCCTGCGACCGGCTCCACGGCACAGCTTTGCTGGAGGCCGCAGGAGCGCTGCTCTTGTTTTGGCGGTGGCAGGGGGGCCGCCCTCGGCGATGGCAGCAGCTGCACGCCGGGGCAGGATGTACCTGATGGCCTCAGTCTGCTTTGGTCAGCGGAGAACCGCTGGGCAAGTTCTCCACCGTGTTGCCGAAAAGGCCAGCCTGGTACCGTCTCGCGCATGTCAGCCAGTCACAGCCAGAAATGCCGCTCCTGGACCACCATAGTGGACATCGCACAACCCAGAGACCACGCCGTAACCTTCGTCACTCCTGGCGTGAGGTCCGCCGCGGTACGGAGTTCTCTGCGAACTTCCGGGTCATGACCACCCTCGTGCAAGTCCTCAATAAAAACCAAAATTAATGACTGTGTTTGGGTTGTTCATTAAAAATCATCAAAAATTACAATATTTGTTAGTAGCCTATGTATTACAGTCATACTCCAAAATGTTTAGTTTTTTAGCAGCCGTTTTTTCCTGTGACCTGTAACACTGTCAATACATTTGTAGCTTTCTTTTCTTGTTTTATATAAAATAAAAACAGTCAAAGTCTCATGGCTGTCTCATTTTTTTTTTCTTGGCAGGCTTGGAAGAGTTGGTCCTAAAGAGTTTGCCACCGCCAAAGTGGAATTCACACCAAAACTGCCAGGACAAAGAAAAATACTGATAGATTTTGCCAGCAATAAACTTCACAATATTGAGACCTTTGAGAATCTCGTCATCTATGAATAAATGAGCCGTTTATACTTATGCTTGTGATGTCTTATTATGTTAATGTTTTTTTAATTAACCATACTTCATTTTGGTGCTGGCACTTTCAAATTTTCAGAAAAATGCATGACTTGAATATGAAGCAATCTCCTTCCAAAATGCCAGTTTTGGTGCAAAAAATTTTTCAGAATATTTTGTACAGTCATGACTGTACTGTAGATTCATAATTTTTACTGTAAACACGGAGAAAATTATTCAGTTTACAAATAGAAGTGCGGTTGGAATAAATTTCCATCTATTTGCACGCCTGATGTGCATTTCTCATATTAGAAAAACAGAATTTGAATATTGCATCAATGCAAAACTGCTCAGAAAGTTTCAAACTCTCATATAAGTCATAAATCTGAACTATAAAGTAGTTCTGCAGCATTTAAAAAACAAGCCACAATCAGTCCAACCTTCAGCTGGAGTGAAGCTACCATCTTTGTGCTTACCAACTGTGCTTTGGGTGCTTCAGTTTATGTCACTTAAGAGTGACTTTCTTGTGAGGAAACATTCTTTAAAACTTTTTTACACTTATTTTCTTCTGCAGCTCCTCTACAGCTCTTTCTCTGATTTTCTTTGTTTTCCTATAGATTTGAAAAATGGTGACATGGGACCAAACAAATGCTTCAACATGCACACCCTCGATTTTCTCAGTGAACTCCAGCATGTGCTACCTTATACCCTCCTATTTTATCGCCATCTCTCTCAGCATCAACATGGTTCTTGGTCTTCCAGCAAACTGTTACATCCTGTGGTTGAGCGTGAAGGAGATGATTCAAGGACAGTCCACCGAAATCTTCGTCTTCAACACGGCACTCGTTGAGATCTTCTTCTGCTCCTCCTATGTTTTTATCATATGGCAGTATTTCTTTAATTGTACTTATTGCAAGTTTGGCATTTACTTTCCTAGTCTGTTGCTGTTGGTCGGTCGTCCTCTTTTTCAAACCTGCATCTGTGTGGAGCGTTACGTAGGGGTTCTCTATCCTGTGACCTTCTTGAAGCTCAAACCCATGAAATACCGGATCACCATATCCATCATTGGATGGATTCTGATCATTACCTCAAGCTTAATGGTTTCACTGAACATCATTGAACTTCATCAATTAGTTTTGCCAGAACTGCTTGTTTTTTTTAGCATCAAAGTCTTCAGCTGCTTGATGGTCCTGAAGGCTCTGAAGCACCCTGGACCAGGTGACGACTTCAAGAAGAAAGAGGGAGTGAATCAAGATAAACTCAAGGCTTTTCGGATCATTCGGATCATGCTGGTGTCCGCAGTGCTTATGTACGGTCCTACGATTATTTCTCTTGTGCTTTATTATTTAATAGATTTACAGAGGTTTCTTTTGTTCTGGTCTGGGGCCTTGTGCCTTGGGCTCTTGACAGGGTTTGTGCATCCTTTACTCTATCTCAAAAGAGTTGGAAAAATCCCCTTTTGTTAGAGGAACTTCCCACATTTTCGTGTCTCAAAAAGCACAAGACAAACAAAAACTGAAAATACGGGAAAATACTACTATTACTTTGATCTAATATAAAATTAAAGGGATACATCCCCACTCAAAAAATTACATTTTTGTCACCATTTACTACCCTTATGTCATTCCAATACTCTGGAGGCAGAGAATGATATATTGAAGAACATTGGGGTATAAACAAAATTGGACCCCACTGACTTCCATGTTAGATATTTTTACACAGCAAGAAATTTAAACAGATTTGAAATTACACAAGGGTAAGTAAAGTAGAACTTTCAAAATAAAATTTTGGGTGAACTATGCCTCTAGCAAAAGCCTGTCTGATACAGTAGTGTATAAGAGATTAAGAAGATGTGCTGCACTTTGAATCACACCTGAAAATACAGTCTTCTGAATACCATCTCTTTATTTGTTCATTATATTTAGATTTTATATATATATATATATA